CGAAAATCACATATAAAGGCAATTTAGTACTTTCGCCTCTCCATGAGATATGCACAAGAATAATTTCGACTTGTATTTATCACTAGTTTATTAGGCAATGAGGGGATATTCAAATTGACCCATTATTGAATTCAATATAGTTTTTTGGTACCATAAACTCGATGTAAACTGGTAACCACCATCACCAATCGATATGTGCAATCATAAACTCAGGGGCCAATTTGGCAATATCTAAACCTATTTCCTAATTAAATTGACAATGAAACCTAAGTTGAAAATGATAGCGATATGAATATCGTCCACATTCCTTGAATCCGGAGCTTATCACATGAAAATCATTTTATTAAAGGTAAATTACGAGATAACCCCCCTTTTTTTTGTCCAAATTACATTTACCTCTATAAACCAAGGTTGTAAAAATCGGTAATCGGGTCCGAGTCGGCCAGGCACCGACTCACGATTAATCGGTGCGGCGGTGGTTAATCGGTGATAAATCGGAAATAAATCGGTTTTTAAAATTTAATATAATATATTTCTAAATATTATTTATAAATACTCCAAACATATATAAAAAGATATTTAAACATAGTTATATCTCCATCATGTATATATCCTAATAACATAATAAAAGTTTACTAATCATAAGATCATAATTCATAAATATCATTATAAAATATAAATAAAAAAATATTTTTTTTGAATTTACATTTATTCTTGAACATTCTTGGTATACATCATTAGTTCTTTAACAATAACAATTAACATAAACAAAATAAGGCATAAACTCATATTTTCTTTTTATTAAAATTCAACTTTTATTTTGAATTATAAAAAAAAATTAAAAAATAAAAAATAAAACCGATTTTTGCCACCGAGTTTGACCCGCCTTACAGGTTTGACCGTCTCAGACCGCCTCGGACCGCCTCAGACCGCCTAAAACCGCCTCACAGGCAAAAAACCGAATTTTCAAACCTTTACACTAAAATCGTAAAGGTTTTCGACCGCCTCCGCCTCGGAGACCGATTAATCGGCCGCCTCGGCCGATTTTTAGAACACTGCTATAAACATACTAATATAGCATTCCTTCAAAATTTGTAACGCATTATGTAAAATGTCTTGATTGTCCTTGATAAAAAGAAAAGATTTTTTTAAAATAACATATAACTGCCTATATAAAGTCTCTTTAAATTATAAAAATCCCTCTTTTATTTGTAAATTACTTTTACCCCCTCGAACTAATGATAGTTCAATTTTCTTAAACATAATTGTGAAATATCTAAATTGTCCTTGAGAAAAATTAATATTTTGCCAAAATATCTTAATATTAATTTTTTTTTTTACATCTATGTTATGTAAATAGAACAAAGTGATTATATACCACGTTAAAAGAGTTCTTGATATTTTGTTTTCTCAAAAAAAAATTGAAAGATCTAAAAATTCGACTCATACGTATAAAATGACTGCTATAATGGAAACAAAGTTGAACGTCCAGGTTAAGAAAAATATGAGATAAATTGATCAGTGGACTGAATAATTAGTCAAATATAATGTACAAAATATTGACAAATTATAATGGCTTTAAGAGTTTAAGTCATAATTATTTAATTTTCTTCTTTATTAAATACAATTTTCTTAAAGCCAATACATCAAAGTTGTGGGTAGTATCCATTGGTTCATGTATATCATTTCTTCCGACATCCAATTTTGGTGATTCAAGTTGGATTAAAAAACTAACTCAGAATTTACAAATCTTATTTTTCGGGTTTTGCAAAATTTGGAATAAAAATGATCAAAATCACGTTTGAAGTCGAAATAGTATTATTAAAGCTCGAACGACGTTTATCACATCCCTTACGTTGACTTGTCAACAAATCAAAAAAAAAAAAAAACTAAAAATAAATACTAATACTGTCGTTGACTCTAATTGTACTGTCAACGACAGTACAATTACGTTAATGTATTGTCAACGACAGTATAATTACGTTAATGTATTGTCAGTGTCAGTATAATTACTGTTAACGACAATACAATTACGGTCAACGTTTAGCGGCGGGTGTAAAAAAATGGATAATTTTTTTATGAGAAATAAAAATCACTAAAAAAGTCAACGCCGGAAAAAACAGACTAGAAAAGAAAAAAATCGAAAAGTCAACGCCGGAAACCGGTGGCAAAAAATTAATTTTTGAAAAAAAAAGTTTAAAAAAAAATCAAAATTGAATTTCCGTGGTCAAAATTGATTAAATTATGGTTATAATTAAGAATTGGGTGTAAAAGGTTGGGATGTAATTTATCATATACATTAATTTTTCCTTTATTTATAATAAATATTAAAGAGATTGCTTATTGGCGAGACAGATATAGCCTATAAACCTAAAATAATAAAGATGATTTGTCAGAGACATATGCACAAAATCCCCATATTTTAATTTTATCATAGAACAATATTTGTTCACAAATTTATAGATAACAAAATGACAAATTTAAGTAAAAAATAATCCTCCTATTGAACTAATTGGACCAGTACTGTGTTATTCCATGGTATAGGATCAAAACTTTTTTTTTCTTCTTTTTTTCTGTCCTTTTTTTTAAACTTTTTTTCTTTAATTGGGAACTTTTGTCCCTTGCCGGAAAAGGGCATTGAACAAACCACTTTCCCATACTCTAATGTTGGATTTTATGCCAATTTTGATTCTCTAACACAGAGAGCCATTAGAGATCTTCATCCAGAATATAATCACAACAATAATTTGTGTAAAGTTTTGGTCCGAATATGACAGTAGATTAATCTCCACTTCTATATAATAATCCTCAAATCACACAAAAGATGTAAATTACAGTAGACATGAGTCATGAGTAACAAATTTGATCTAAAAAACAATGGTAATAAAAGTCGAACTCGGTCCATTTGACTCTACATTTGTTTTCTCCAAGAACTACTAGAAAACATGGGTGTACATTTTCAACTAAATAAGAATCGGTTAAATATCCTAGGTATGTAAATAAATGGTGCCGTTTGTTAGAAGATCTAAGCCACATAAACTAAGTTTGAAATAAAGAAATTCTCTGGATCTAGTGATTTTAGTCTTTGGGGAATGAAAATGAGGGTTATGTTGCTGCACCTGTTGGGATATGAAGTCCATGAGCTAATGAAAATTCGCAAGAGTTCTAAATTAGTCGGTTTTAATTTTATTAACATGTTTTGATTAGATTTGTTTAAAGTGAAATAAATATTATCTAGCAACTAACTTTTTCGTGTGCATATTCGTTTCTACCTTCGGCGCACGAACGAGTCCTTCCACCAATCCTTGCTTCTCGAAAATCACAGAGTTAAATACCCTTAATTTTCTATTGTATATCCATGATTAGCAACTAATTTTTTCGTGTGTATATTCGTTTCTATCTTCGGCGTACGAATGAGTCATTCCACCAATCCTTGCTCCTCGAAAATCACAGAGTTGAATACCCTTAATCTTCTATTGTATATCCATGATTTATTTTGCAACAAGGGTGGACTTATATTCTAGAATAATAATAAATAAGTGTAAGAAGTTAGATAAGAACGTTACGAATCGTGGCTCACAACCGGGGGCGAATCCTCTCTTAATTGAAAATCATTCGATGTATTATATCTTTATATTTATTTAGTCCATCCAAAATTCAAATTAATTCAAAAAAAATGCAAAAATCTTTTCTTTTCTTTTTTTCTTTTTCTATCTTTCGATTTTGTCAAAAGAAAATCTATTTTTTTTTTTTTCCAGAGGCTCTGTGTCTGGACCCCGAAAATTTGATCCACATATCAAAATATTACATGGGCCACTCTTAAAATTAAACAACTGTTATAATTTTTTTTACGTTATTTTCAGCCCTCCCCCTAAAATCATAATTTCACTACTGTCGGATACTATGTGAACTTGAGCCAACCTAAATACGATTCACATAACCCGATTGAGAGCCTTAAGGAGACTAAGTTTTAAAGTTCGTCCGAGACCTCCAAATGGAAATGGGTTAAGGATCTATCCATATATGCCACGACTTAAACCCTAAGCTAGTCAATCCCGCCAACAACACAGGACCTCATCAGTCAATCCAATCACATTCCAACAAATCAACCCAACAAAATATCCTACCCTAAAACCACCAAACAATGTTTGCCCTTTATCAAACAGATTATTCCGATTAATCCCATCCGTTCACGTGGCACAATCTCCCACACTTACACCATCACTTCCGCCGCTCATCTCCACTCTCGTGCCGCCACGTATTACTTATTCTGGAACTTCCACCACCGTACACGATGCCCCATGCTTACACCCTTACGTGCCCCTTCCTCTTTTGGCCCCTAGTAAATGCCACTCCTCTCTTCTCATTGGCTGCCGTTTCTGTGGGCCCCACTACTCTTGGACCAAATAATTTTTCATTTTTCATTTATAAATAATTAATCAAAAATTATATAAAAATGCAATAATTTGGCACTATTCATTTTTCACTTGTATAAAAATATGTTTGAATCTATCGAATATATTTTGACAAGTATTATAAATTCTAAACGTTTTGACATGTAGAAAAATATAGGATAGATTACAGACACTGATGTAAGATTAAATTATAAAAAAAAATTCTTCTATTTGAATAATTGTAAGTTACAATCAACTCTCACAACTATGAATTTTCTTATACATCCATCTTTATGATGTGATATTTAACATAATTTTGTAGATTTTGTGAAATGTTCTCTAATTTGTACTCGTTTTGTGCAAAAATGCAGTTTTTTATGCACCACAATCTAATATTTTTAAGCCAAAAGACACATCTTATCAACATTTTATTTCGAAATATAAAATTTGAATGAAATAAAAGGGTACAAACTAAAATGTATTCTCCATAAGTTAAAAGGTTCCACTAAATTTAAAGATTTCTCGTAATTTGCTCTAACTTAAGGATTGTAATTTACAACAAGATATATATGAATCATTAAATAAAATATACAACAAGATATATATAAAATCATTAAATTAATCCCAAAGAAAAACCCTACCTCTCCTCTCATTGGATAACCTAGTCTACTGTCACGTGGGTCCCTTTCACATCGTTGCGCCACGTACCACCCTTCGCCAATCATCTTTCTCACACGCGTCTAGTTTCTCGCACGTGCCGACCCCGTTCATTTTCAGTATAAATGGAACTCCACAGAGATCGTGTAATAATCATTATACGCCGTTTATTAAAAAACTTAGATAAAAAATGATGGACCAGAGGGGTGGGTGTTGTACAGCTAGGTACGCCGGAGGTGGCGCGTACGATATGTCTAACATGGGCCAGATAATGCTCCGCTTTCGTCCCATAGCTCCGAAACCGGCTTCTGCCGATGGATCTATTTCCGGCGGCGGAACCAGCTGGCCCCCCACGGCGGAGAACGGCGGACTTTCTGTCAAAACAGGCCGCGGTAAAAGAAGGGGGCGAGCGGTTAAAGGTGGTGCTAGTGCTACTGCTCTGAACAAGAGGAGCTATACTAGAAAGAAGAAGCACTCGTCGTCGCCGGAGAACACCGACTCCGGTGGATCGGTCTCCGGCGACGGGAAGGAAATTAAAACCCTGGCTTTGCTGCCGGAGGCCCCCAGCGCGGCGGAAAGTCGGAGGTTTCCAGCTTTGTGGCTGAGCTTAGGGAGCGGAGGGGGTGGCGCCGGCGCCGGCGCCGAGATCGCGGCGGATGGCTCGGGTTTTTTGGAGAATCCGATGGAGGCGGTGGGGCGGCCGCGGACGGTGGTTGTGAGGTCGTGGGTGAAGGTGGAATGCGTGACAGACGCGGCGGCGGTGGGGGGGTACGTGTACGGTGGGATAGGGCGGACGGACGAGGAGAAGGTGAGGTGTTTGGATCTTGACACGTGTCCGGGGTTCGTGACGGATGGTATGAACGTGGTTAGGTGGACGAATGCGGCGTACAGGCGGATGGCGGCGGGGGGAGCGGCGGAGGGGGAGGTGGATTTGTGGGTGGAGGTGGTGGAGGGGGCAGAGCTGCCGGTAGGGGGGAAGGAGGGGTTCACGTGCAGGGTGAGGGTGGTCACGTGCGGGAAAGAGAAGATGTGCCAAACGGTGCCGTGTGACGTGTGGAGGATGGGTTGTGGTGGATTTGCATGGAGGCTTGATACTACGGCTGCTCTTTCTTTGGGTCGGTTATAATTAATTAGGTTAATTAAGACCTAATTAATTAACCCCTCATTATTAATAACTGGTGTTTAATTTTACGGTGATATTGGTGTTTAGCCACGACACATGGAGATCTTTGTAATTAATTGTGAATACCTATTTTCCTCTCTTTTTTTCTTATTTTCTTTTTTTTTTTTTTTTTTTAATATTTTTGCAATTTGTTTTGAGTGGTGAGATATTAGTGATTCAAATCACTATTTTAGGGCTTGATCTGTGGAGTTTATTGAGTAATTAGTAGTCAATGTACTTTTTTACTATTAACTCAGTAACTTCAATTTGTTAACGTATTCAGATAGGTTTCGTGTCGGACACTCAAGGACACCTGCCGGATATCTTATTTGCAATTTCTAAACGGTAAGAAACATGTTTGAATAGCAAATTTTCAAATATTTTGTTGTTTTCCCTAATTATTTAAACGACTTAATATTGATCATGTAAAATTTATTTCGAACATGTTTTCTCATGAAAATATATATAAATAAACACTTATAAGTGTTCATGTAGTATATTGATAAATATACTTCTATAATTTTAATATTTACATGTCTCCTCAAGCTCTCGATTCTCATCTTATAAAAAAAACTCTATTTTCCCTACTTTTGGGATATGTTTTCTAGTATCCGTTTCCCCTTAATACCACTAATACCACGGTTTCCGCATCCGTGCTATATTGTTTTTTTATTAAATGAACATTATCTCATCCACACACAAAAATACACATATTCAATTATTTATAGTAAAATATTATTTTAGTGAAAAAAATAAAAAAACAATTATCATATATATTTAGGACAATTATTTTAGTTGCTATATTGTAACTACAGGAGTGTCACTAATTCAATACTGTAAGAACTAACAATTCAAAATATATTATCACAACAAAAAGGAAAAAGTATTATATCGCTGATAATATAATATAAGGAATATTAGTAATAAAACTCAAAGTATTTGTCACTTAATATTAGAATTTGTTGACTATCATGATATTTTCATGAATTCTAGTACGTACTCTCACTCTTCGCTTCTGCCGTCGCATGTTTCTGTTACCACACATACTTTACTGCAATGAAATATCCAAAATATTATTAATGTGAGTAATATAATGCTTAATTATGGTGTTAATGATGTTTAGTGAAGTACTATATATATAATTAATATTGCAAAAGTGAGGTTAAGAATCTGTGTCAAGGAAATCTGAATTCTGAAACTGGTAAGAGAATTTGTTGGTGTGTGTCAGTGGGGTGTGTTTGTGTGTGTGTGTGAGAGAGAGAGAGAGAGAGAGAGAGAGAGAGAGAGAGAGTAGAGAGAGAAAGAAAGCTGCAAAATAAAGATCATTGATGTAATTAGTGCATTAATGGGAGAAAAGAAGTGCCCGTACTAGGACAGGTGGAGCTTCATCACATCACAATACATGCATGCTAATTCCTTCAATTCTCTCTTCTTTTTTCTTTTTTCTTTTTTCTTTTTTCTTTTATTTATTTTATTTTATTTTACTTTTGTTCTTAATAATTTATAAAGGGAAATCTGGTAGTGCTGATATCTGAGATCACGTTGTTTATGTGATGCTTCAAACTCCAATTCGTTTCTTCCAAGTTTCATACATCCATTCAAATATTCTGTCTACCACGTGAAATTCCATATGTATAGATTCTATTATGTACTATTTCTTTTTATCTCATTTTCCAAATTTTTTTTTCTTTCTTTTTTTCGCAAAGGATGATAGTTAGTGGTTCCCAAATTCCTCTACTGATGTCTCAACTCATGATCAAACAGGTCTAGTTACAAGGTTCTTACTAACATATTACCTTGTTTTGATTCATTTTTTTCAAAATTTCTGAAACTTAGAAAGTAATATTATTAATAATTTTCTTTTATGTTAACCTGCAGCCATTTATGTAGGTGTATTAGGTAAACCTACACTCTTGTATAATAGTTTGCAAATTATATTAAGCTACTAACCATGTATGACAAATTCGACCTAGCCACCGTTAGCAGGAGAATTCGAACTTGAGTCTATTAATACAAACTCACTTACTACAATTTTTCTTTATTAATCAGTATTTTTGCAATTTTGTTTTGAGTGGCGAGATATTAGTGATTCAAATCACTATTTTAGAGCTTGGTGTGTGGAGTTTATTAGTTTATAAACTTCAATTTATTAACGTTTTTGCGTTTCAACCAGGTTTTGTATTGGACTCTCGAGGACACTTACCGAAAATTTTATGGGCTATTTTTTAAACATAAGAAACATGTTTGAATAGCATTTATTTTAAGTTTTGTTGTTTCCCTAATTATTTTTACGATTTAATGATCAAGTAAAAATTATTTCGAACATGTTTGTACGGAAATATAAAGAAAAAATTTATACATAAATAAAAACTTATATATATGTTCATATATTATATTTATAAATATACCCCTATAATTTTAATATTTACACGTTTCCTCAAAACTCTCGTATCCCTATTTTTGCGATATGTCATTTTTCCGTGTCCTTTTTTGCATATCACCGATTCCATGTTCGTGTTACATATGTGTTTTATTAAATCAACATTATCTCATTCACACACTAAAGTGCACATACTCAATTATTCATATAGTAAATATTATTTTAGTGAAAAACCCAATTATCATGTCTGCAAGGCAATTTAGGACAATTATTTTAGTAAGAACTAACAATTCAAAATATAGTATTACAACGAAAAAAAGTATTATATTACTGTCTACTGATAACATAGAGGAATATTAGTAATAAAGCTTAAAGTATTAGTCACTTAATATACGAATTTGGTGACTATCATGATAATTTATATACATACATATAAGATAATATGGGTGGATATAAATTAAATAGCAATAGATAAATCGAGATAACTATGATCTTTCATGAATCCTCGTACGTGCTCACTCTTCGTCATATGTTTCGGTTTACACGCATACTTTAATTTATTGCAGTGAAATATCCAAAAAATTATTAATGGGAGTAATATAAAGTTTAATTATGGTGTTAATGATGTTTAGTGAAGTAGTATATAATTAATTAATATTGCAAAAGTGAGTTTAGAATGTGTCAAGGAAATCTGAAACTGGCAAGAGAATTTGTTAGTGTATGTCAGTGGGGTGTGTTTGTGTGTGTGCGTGAGAGAGAGAGAGAGAGAGAGAGAGAGAGAAGAAAGAGAAAGAAAGCTGCAAGAGATCATCCATGTAGGCAGGGTCTTGGAGGCCCGAGGCGAGAAACAAAAACGAGTTCGTTTTAATTACCCTTAATATCTTTTTAAAATTTGTAAAGGGAGCACCGGATCCGGCCCAGATCCGACGACCGCCCCGTTGACCGTTGACCCGGACTCGTACCGGGTGGTCAATCCGTTGGCCCCGGCCCAAGGACTCAACCTAGAGACCCATATTTAATTGGTCAGGTTTTGACAAAAAATGCTTCAATTAAGGGTCAAACTTGGGCTGATACAAGGGAACAGTGGTGCCAACCACTGGGACAAAGCAAATATTTGTTTAATACCTAACAATCAATGTATATATATATATATATATTTATATAATATTTTAGTGTAAAATGATTTAATCGATATAAATAATATTATATATATTATTAATTTTCATATTCAACATTACTAAATAATTTTAATTAAATATGAACAAATGTAATATATTAAATTTTGAAAAATATAAAGAATCGCGGTTCAATACTTCCAAACAGCGATTATTAATTAATATATCCAATATAATCTCCACTATAAAAAATTAGAGAGAATTGATCATTCAATATATATAGAAATGCATGAATTTAATAGAAACCTCACTCTGTTATTAAAATCGATAGTCTGAAAAATTCAAATGAAAACAAAATAAGATGTTTATTTAAGAAAAAAACAGATTATAACCCATTTCAATTAATTTGAATCAATTAACTTCAATTATTGATAACAACTTATTAAAAATTGTTGGTTATTTTATTAAGGACAATTATTGACAATAACATATTTATAACAAAAATATAGATAATGTTTATTTTAACATATTTTAGTTAATTTTTCTACTTTAAAATTAAACTATAGATGATGAGTAGAATAAATTAACCCTATAATTTAAGTTATATCTTTTTAATTATCCTATTCTAATTAGCACCAACATGGTGAAATAGTTTTGTTTTCCTTTGAATTAAATCTTGTTCGTGAAATTTGTTCTATAAATTAAATCAAGGTTGTAAAAAGCGGTAATCGGGTCGGAGGCGGTTAGGGACCGACTCACGATTAATCGGTGCGGCGGTGATTAATCGGTGATAAATCGGAAATAAATTGATTTTTAAAATTTAATATAATATATTTGTGGATATTATTTATAAATATTCAAAACATATATAAAAGATATTTAAACATAGTTATATCTCCATCATGTATATATTCTAATAACATAATAAAAGTTTAATAACAATAAAATCATAATACATAAATATCCTTATGAAATATAAATATTTTTTTTTTAATATACATACATTCATGGCATACATCATTAAGTCTTTAACAATAATAGTTAATTAACATAAACAAAATAAAGCATAAACTCATTTTTTTTAATTAGAACCCCAACTTTTATTTTGAATAATAAAAAATTAAAAAAAACTAAAAAAAAAAACCCGATTTTTGACCGATTTTTGGCACCGAAGTTTGACCCGCCTTAAAGGGTTGACCGCCTCGGACCGCCTCAGTCTGTCTCCATCCGCCTCAAACCGCCTAAAACCGCCTCACAGGCAAAAAACCGATTTTTCAAACCTTTACACTAAAATCGTAAAGGTTTTGGACCGCCTTTGCCTCGGAGACCGATTAATCGGCCACCTCGGCCGATTTTTAGAACACTGAATTAAAATATATAAATTATAATATTTTTATTCCATAGTGAAATTTTATTATAAATGGGTTGTAATTACTATTTTTAAAATAATAAAAACTTGAGAATTATTAAATGGGATTTTTCGAAATTTCATAGTTTAAATACCGGATATAAAGTAAATAACTAAATAAGAAATGAAATACAGTTAAGCCTCTATAATTAATATAGTCGGGACTAGCGAAATTCTATTAATTTAGCGAAATATTAAATTATCGAAATATTAAATTATCGAACTAATAATTTAGTAGATTTTTACCATGCCGGGACTAGAAAACAACTATTATTTAAATGAGCCGATTAATTTATCGAGTATTAACTAAAAAAATAAGTCCCCCAAAAATAAATTCTTTAATATTAATTTAA